TCGAAACTATGCTGCAGTTTTCATCAGAGCGCGACAAGAGCTAGGATCCCGGCCATGTACATGTCCTTCGTCATCGCGTTCCCAGCTGTCTGGAAACAACGAGATCTGCCTCGCCGCGTGCTCTTCAGCGACCGAAAAGGATAACAACTCTCGACTATGTGAGCGCATTTCTCTACGCGCATCAAGAAGTTACCTGGTATATCCTGTGATCATTATGAGTAACTACAAATTGTTGAGATCGAAGAAAGGACGTCATCATGCTCGACTCGCCAGTGTAGCGCCCGGCACGGTCCCGAACTTTAGCTTCACACGATCCACAATTTCAGCCGCATCTTGATCTCGAACAAGCTCACCATGCCGATTCTTGGGAAAGATCTGAGCCAGGATCGGCCATGTACAGTTTCGATACCTACCAATCCTGATCGTAGAACTCTTTGTCCATATCTGATCAACGCCAAACTAACACGCAAGCGGCGATCATGCCGTCTGTTCAGAACATTTGCTTATCGGAATCTCATCAGGGTGGGTCATACTAAGATCGTGGCGCGAGCGCCTCTGTCATGTCCTGCGAAAGTTCTGTCGAAATTTTGCCAGCTGTTGCTTCTCAAGTTACAGTCTGGTGAGAAACACACGGCATGGCTCTTCACAATGCTTCACGACCCGTTTCCTGGTCGAATACGACAGCAGCATCGACAAGACCACCAAGTCCCGCCAACATCGAAAAGGACCATGACAAAAGTCGCCAGCCGTCGACCATAGCAGACTTCAATCCAGGCATCGATCCTGAGAAAGGCCATCCACCGAATGCAGGTCAAGAAGCAACACCAAGCGCTCCTCATGCTTCCTCGCAAGATCGCCCTGCAACGCTCGACTGGGACGGTCCAGATGATCCTCTCAATCCTCACAACTGGAGTGCAGCGCGAAAATGGTATCAAACATACACGATATCAGGCATCGCATTTGTAGGAACCTTCGCATCATCCGTCTTCACACCTGCCATCGAACAATCAGCATCAGAGCTCCACTCCACCCAACTCATCGCAACCTTCGCATACTCCATATACGCCCTCGGGCTGGCCTTCGGCGGACCATTCGCCGCGCCTCTGAGCGAAACATTCGGACGTCGACCCCTCATCTTCATCAGCCTGCCCATCTTCGCGCTCTTCATCCTCGGAACGGGTTTCGCGCAGAGTATGGCAAGCCTAGTAGTGCTGAGGTTCTGGGCTGGTTTCTTCGCTGCTCCAAGTCTGAGCATGGGGTCAGGCACACTTAGCGACATCTGGCCGCCTGAGAAGCGGTCTGGACCCATGTCGCTGTATGTCGCAACACCGTTTATGGGCCCGGCTCTAGGACCTATTCTAGGTGCTGCGGTAACACAGACACGTGGTTGGCGCTGGACGTCTTGGTTGATACTCTTCTTTACCATTGTGCTTGTCATTGCGCCGGCACCGTTTTACAAAGAGTCGTATAAGCCAGTCCTCCTGCGTCAGCGCGCGAAGAAGCGAAATCTTCCTCTGCCGCGGTCGCCGACTGAAGGCATGTCTTTGCCTAAGATTGTCAGTACATATGCGACCAAGACACTCACGCGGCCGATGCATATGCTCCTCACTGAGCCGATCGTGGCTACATTCAACACGTACTCTGCATTCAACTTCGGCCTACTATACGCCTTCTTCGCCGCTTTTCCGTACGTCTTCGCAACAGAATACGGCTTCGATAGTATCTCGACAGGCTACACGTTCCTTGGTCTGGGTGTCGGCGTCATCGTCGCTACCATCTGCATCGTTTCATTTAGTAAACTATACTACCTGCCTCGCGTGCGCAAAGCGATTGCAGAGAAGGCTCCAGCACCGGCCTTCGCAACCTCACGACTCGTACCTGAAAAGCGTCTACCCCTCGCATTCGCCGGTGGACCTATCCTCACAATCGGCCTCTTCCTCTTTGGCTGGTCGGCTGCTTATCGCGTCCATTGGATTGTACCGACCATCGCCGAAGCGTTTTTCGGCATGGGCAATATGCTTATCTTCATGGCGTGTATGATGTATATCACTGATACATATGGGCCGTTGTATAGTGCTAGTGCTATGGCTTCGAATGCTATATTGCGATATGTACTTGGTGGAACCTTTCCGTTGTTTGCAGTTCAGATGTTTCGGAGATTAGGGCCGCAGTGGGCGTGTACGTTGCTGGGTTGCTTGAGTATTTTGGGGGCGTGCATACCGTTTGTGTTGGCGAGATATGGGGAGGTTTTGAGGAGTAGGAGTGGGTATAAGAGAAGCGGGTAGCTTTTAGATAGAGTCTAGAGTAATGTCAAATGAGAATGTACGACAACCAAATAGTGTTTTGTGTGCACTGAAAAGTGTGATGCTAAGCCTGAGGTTTGCGATTTAAAGTCATGGGGCATACCGCACTGGTATCTATCGATGATCTTAAGCCTGGCATCACCGGCAGTGACAAGTGTTACATGGGAGGTATATTTTGAGGAAACGAGATGTTATGAAACTACCGAAAATCATACTCTGCTGACATATTACTAGTAAAGAGCGTGGTTGCAGCACCCAAATACACAACGCCTGACCAAAACAGTCTTCATTCCTCCATTCTTTCCCCCATGTCAAAAAATTCTTCCCAAGCTTCGGTTGGTGCGTCTTCCATATCATCGTCGAACGGATCGAAGGGAGTTTCGTGGTCGGGTTGCAAAGTGGTGTTTTGCGGGTTGTCGATGTGTGTGGTTGTTGGTACGTTTGTTGATGCTTCGGCGCGGTAGTCGGTGGCTCCGTGGGAGAGGAGAAGGTCGACGATCTCGCCGCCGTGCTTTCGACGTTTCGCATAATCCAACGCTGTTGTCCTCCATTCAGACTCTCTCTTTTGGTTTACATCGATGTCTTTATGCTGTAGAAGTAGCTGCAGTGCTTCTAATTTGCCGTGGTGAGCTGCAGCCATCAGAGGACTCATACCCCATTCTCTGCGTATGTTCACGTCAATGTCTTGGTGAACTAGCAGAACTTTGATAGCTTCGCAATCGCCCTTTGTAGCAGCCACCCCTAAAAGAGTTTTGCCCCTTGGCAACTCTTGATTGGGATCTGCAAAGCCAGGATGCTTGAGAAGCCTACGAATCAAGTCTTCTTTGGCGAACAAAACCGATATCGAAGAATCATCGGGAGGGAGACATTGACCGTCGTTTACTAAGTCCCAACATCTGAGGAGAAGTGAAATCATTTCCCAGCGTCCGGAAGCGGCTGCGTAGTGCAATGGCGTTGCCCCGTTCTTGTCTTGACAATCAAATTCAACGCCTGGAAGGCATATCAACTGTTTCACGACCATTATGTGTCCATTGGAAGCTGCGAGGTGCAGAGGAGTCGTCCCGTCGTCATCTTGCTGGTTGACATCAACAGAGGGGTGGCCAATGAACTGTTCCACGATAGCTGTGTGTCCGTATGAAGCGGCTATATGAATCGCCTGTCGAGAGCGGTGGGTGCCCAAGGTTATGTCAATTTGACCACAAGCGATGAGGGTCTCCATTACTTTCGTATGCCCGTAACAAGCCGCTACGTGGATTGGGGCATAGGAGTTTTGTCGTGTCGAAGTTCGATCATTTCCATTGATGTCTGGGTCAGCAAGCAAAGTAGCAACGAGTGAGTGGTGCCCGGCGCGCATTGCTAAGCTGAGTTTCTTCGAGCCATCTCTGTCCGTGAATTGGCTTCCCAAGCGCGCCAAGTAGACGTCAACAATCTCAAAACTACCAGACTGTATGCAGGAGTGTTCGAGGTCATATCTAAGACAGTAGAGCTCCTCTTGCGTAATGCTTTTTAGTAAGCAATCCAGTGTTTCCGGGTTCTTACTCAAAACGGCTTCATGTATCGGTGATCGACCGCCTTGGTTCCTTGCGATGGCATTGGCTCCACTTAGAAGCAAGTACCTGACTATTTCCACCTGGCCGGCTCTAGCAGCGCAGTGAAGAGCAGTGCATCCATCGTCGGTTCTCGTCTCAACAGTCAAGCCGGCATCCAAGAAGTCTTTCAGCCTGTTAAAGTCGCCCGAGGCGGCTACTTGCATGAAGATCGATGTGCTATATAGCTGTGGAGTACTGAGGACTTCTGACTGCTGCTGTGACGACAGTGTGTTGTCACCCTTTTCGACGGAACGGCTCAGGCGCTTAGAGTCATGAGCTTTCCTTCGATGCTTTCCGAGGTTGTCTTTGCGATTTGATTTGAACGCACAGTGCTCGAAATGGCACCGATATTGTTCGTTGCCAGCACGGTGTCGAGACTTAATGTGACGGCTAAGGTCTGAGCGGAGTGCAAAGCCTTGCTCACATGTTTCGCAATGGAAAGGCTTAGTATGCGTTTTCAAATGTCGACTTCTATCTGTTAGCGACAATTGGGGTCCGGAAATGCTGACCCACTTCAATTTCCCTTGTGTATCTGCCTGCTTAGAGCAGAGATGGCAGGTGTACTGCTTGAACGTCATTTGGATGTCTGCAACATGCTATCGGTTTATCCTCGACTTATGTCTGCGTTTGAGAAGTGAGGCTCTGCATAAGAAGCCGGTTCCATGGTTAGAGGCCAAAACAGTCTAGCTGTCTAGGTGCATTTGGGAATGAAGGGCACGGATGGCACGCGCGCATGCGCCGCTCGTTTCGCAGCACACCACCTAGGTATCTAACCGACCCCAGTCAAGCCAAGCTGAACAGCCCTGTCTCATACGACCTTATACCCAGCCGCTTTCTCATACTTCCCATAACCGTCGAACGCACGCTGTCCTGCGAATATACTCTTTGCAACGCGAGCCATCTTGCAGCAATCCCGCGAGACCACCTCCCTTTCCAACCTCTACGAACGCTCTTATCTCCAGACAGCCGGCCAACACACCACAACGATGTCGCAACAATATCCCAAAACGGCCTTCGAACGCGACTCCAACGATTCTCAAGCGTTTGGAGCAGACCACGACGACGCCTGCCAGGAATTTGGGTAAGTCACGTTTTTTTTTTTAATATCATGCAGGTATGCCTCCGCAAGGGCGAACGGGGGAATTGCAGCGGCAGGACATGGTTACGCCGTGCCCTTTCATCAGCCAATCGCCGATCACCACAACGCCCTCCTGTCCGAGGTAGTTGCACAGGCCAACAGAGCACTTCCACTCGCGCAGCCAGAGCATGATGCCAGTCACCAGTACCCTGCTCAGGACCCTTGGCGGACTAATTCCCTGAACGCTACTGCCTTCGATGTGTACCGGCCGGGAAGTTTCAACCCCAGCACGGGTTTTTACGACGGCTCGTTGAACCTTCAATACGGAGACATCGATCTGGGACTCGCCTTCCAGCTACCTCCGGTCTACCCTTCCAACGATGTTTACGATCAATTCCAGCCGATGATGCCTACCATGGACTGGAACCAGCCTACTCCGTTATTTCAGCCCACTCCGGCGCCAGCAGGGTTGACTACTCCAGCCCCAGCCCCCACCACCGACGCTGCCAGCATTCGCTGCCCCGAAGGCTGCCCTGAGACTTTCGGTCGCAACGAAGAAATGCGGCGCCACATGAAGAAGCATGGAACGCCTCGCTTCAAGTGCCCCATCTACGATTGCCCCATGACATTCTACCGCAAGGACAAGCTGAAGGACCATGCCAAGAAGGGCCACGGTAGCCGCGCATCCCTGAACATCCGTTAGTTCGTTACGTCTCACAGCATTCCGTAGGGCATGCATGGCTGTGTCACAACGAGAGAGAAGACCACGAGGGTAAGATGGAGGTGTGCTACGGGTTTCTTGGGCTTCGTCTTCGACTCGCTGTAGTTGTTCCGGTCTTTACAGCCTCTTCACTTTTTATTCCACACACACTCGTTACAGCTAGCTTTCACTGTCCTTTTTGCTTTCTAGTTAGGTCGCTCCTTGATAATTGTAGGTAGTAAAATCCCAGTCTCTCCTTAACTTTGCCATCTCCATCGTGACAACCTCTCCGCAACTCGATACGTCCACAGAGCCTCACTTGGCCCCCAAAGTGCCCAGACTCCGGTGAGCCATGGCGCGGCCACGTCGATAAGCCACATGTATTGAAGGGCACACTCGTCCAATCACAAACGGAAAGACTGCAGGTGCCATGGTCCTCTATGCGCAGTCTATCACGCATGTTGTTGTGCTGCGAAGGGGCACGCGCGTCCAATGACAGAGTGGCGCGAAGTGGGGTCGATGCTGCGCTGGCGGGGCGAGGGGCACGGTGGCGTCGCTGGCGCGCTTGGGAGGGCTTGTGGCTGTCGGGCTGTTTGTCTCCTCAGATTCGCAGGAAGAATGCACGTTGGACGCGCTTTTGGGCTTTCGATGAGCGCGTGGTCAATCAGACGTGTGGAAGAAGAAAGCAGGGTGAGCGCTGGCTTCCTCGAAAGAGTCAAGGAACGTTCGCAGCCTAGCTAGCGCTACTCTGGTGTGATCTATCCATTCCTTCCGACAACGTTCCCTTGCCAGACGTAACCATGTTCCCAGCGACTAGGAGATAATGTCACGATTTTCGAGCTTCTTAGCGAAAGCTATGAGGCCTGAGCTACAGTTCAGCCTGGGAATCTACCAAGTTCTCTCCTATGATGGTCTAGGTTTGTTTCCTTTGCAACCCCAAGCACCTCTGGTGCAATGTTGAAGATAGCGTAGTCTACCTAAATCTTCTCCCAGGTCGCTCTTGCTGTCGTACTGTCCCTCGTAAGTTACTCGGAGTCGGAAAGCTTGGAACGGCATAGAGTCTGGTTTCGATTAAAACGGGGAAACTGGGTTATTGGATGAGCGCGTCTGAGCACCCCATCCATGTAGTGCGGGGACGTGATATCTTTCCCACCAGAGCGAACGCTACAGTGGTTCCACAGCTGCTTAACAAAGTACGCAGGTGGTCTCCTGCCTTTGTGGAAGTTCGCGAATACTAGAGCCATGATACACATATTGAGATCGTACTGAGGGCTATCCAGAAGGCCAGAGACGTGACGCCAGCAAAGGCGACATGCGTGACCAAAGATTGCTAAGCGATCCGCTACAACGAGGTTCTCGCACTCTTGTATGGTATGATAAACAAGATGGGGGTATGTACTCCAGCCCGGGTAAGGGAAGCCATACACAGCGAATTTGTGTTCGACAGACGCTTTCTGTTGCATGGACCACGGCTTATGACACCCTGGATTATTTGCTTGCTGAGTATCGTTTATCTTAACTTTAAGAAGGGCGAGGCGGATCTGGATCTGGCGAAGATCCAGACATAAGTCTGTCCCTATAAGATGGTGTTGCACTGCATCTGAAGTCTCCTGAGATTCATCCATGGGGACTAGAAAGTCCAACCGCGTAGCGCAAAGCTTTTCCTGAAAGGCCCACGTCCGTGTGAACCACTTATCGTTTCCAATGGCATCAAGTAGCTCGTACGAGTCCCTAAGGTATGGTTGGAAGTTACTGGTATACCTGTAGTCCCATTCAGCCTCGTATCCCTTTTCCCAGTGTGCATACTTGATTCGATCATCCCAAAGATACGTGGTCAACGACTCAGCAAGGGACATATCAGTAATCGTATACGACAGTGGAGCGACTGTCCACATGCTTCTTTCGTAAACATGGTGCATGATCTTCAAGTGTTCTTGAATATCCATAGGATCTGCCTGATCAATGCATTCCTGATCGATCCAAAGGTATGGACATTCACGAGATCGTGCGAACAGCATAGCGCGATGAAAGACCAGCTCGGGACAGCTGATGGGCGTTGGTTCGCTTGTTCCTGGTCGACCCGTTATGTGATAGCGCGGAAGTGCCGAGCAATCGAGCGAGCTTTGCGTTTGCTTCCAGCAGTATGATACGGTCACATACTTCAGGCCGTCCTGGTATTCTTCCGGATTCGTGAGCCGATAGTCATTGTAATTGTCGTCTACAAGCCACTGGTCGGTTGAGACAGGTGTAATAAGGCGAATTTGGATTGGCTCATCGATTGAAACTTCGTAAAGGGCTATGTCGTTGATCTTTTGGAGTGCCTCGTGAAGAGCCTCTGGGGTGGGGTATAGCTCATTGAATGGTGTTGCCCTGTGTAGCTCCATGATCGCAACTGCGTCGAGAATTTTGGAAGGATTTTGATTGTGTACAAGTATTCCTTTAGGCAGCGACACCAGGAAAGAAGTGCTCGAGAACTGTGCCACACTGCTCACGTGCAAAGTGGGGTCAACCCACAACAAACGATACCAAACAAGGAAACCACCTAGCCTCATCACGCAGGCGCACCCAAGACCATCATCAAGAAATGTATTACGGTAGAATGTTGATGCAGAGCAGGGCAACAAAACGCGGTTAGATCATGGAATGTAAATATCTTCATTACTAAGTACCGCAAAACCAACAAAACCAGCCAAACCAAAGCCGCAAACGAATGCATACCTAAATCTAAGAAAACGCCTATGCTCATTGCACTTCCCAAAAAAAACCCTAACCAACCCAACTACCCCATTTACCGAGCGTATATCATCGGATAGCATTAAACTCGTATATCAGGATATCGCAAAAGAACCCTCATTTTGAACGCCATGAAAAACAAAATGCATACACCACATTTCCCATTCCCGGTTCGCATCATCGTTATCATTAGTACAATGATCGTCGCTTCAGCTTATTCCTGCGTTGCGTTAGCAAAAGATCCAATAAAGACACGGTACAGGAAGGTATGGTTGAACTTACGTAGCACCCCAACTCAACCGACTCTTCGATTTCGCCGCTGCCTCAGGACCCATCGCCGACCTCGGCCTCTCCTTCTCCTGTTCCTTCTCCTTCTCCTTCGCCTCCTCTTTCTGTGCAGCACCCGCTTCCGGACCCGTCGCATTCGCAGTAACAGCGTAGTAGCGCGGTGTAGTCGGTGTGTTGCGCCGCGGGTTCGGAGGGCGCACATTGGTTGGAAGAGGCGACGTCAACGGTGTATCGGCAGCTTGGGAGCCGACGGGCTTGGATGGAATGGCTGATGCGGCGGTGGAAGGACGGATGGACATGTTCTTGTCTTTGGGTGCGAGGACGCGACGCAGTTTGGATTCTTCGCGCTTGGGAAGGGCTTCGGGGGCTGGTGTCGTGGCGTCGGTGGATGGTTGCTCTGGCTCTTGGGTCTTGCGGACGATCTTTTGCATCATGACCTTGAGGCCGAGACTTCTCCTGCGGTTGGTCTTGAGCTCTCTCAGTTCGGCGGGTGGGACGTCGTGCGACATCAGACTCCAGCGGTTTGGTGTCTCCTTAGGCGAGCTCTTGCTGCGGAGATGGCGTTGGGGAGTCTCTTGGATGCTGCCTTCGCGTTCCGGGACTACGGGCATAGGTGGAATTGGTATCGCTTCCACGGGTGGTGCCTCGTCTGATATCTTCGTCAGCGGTGGACTCGGTTCGTGGATGAGTGTCGCACCACTTGAGCGAGCAGAGAAACGGTCAGGTCGGTCCATAGAAATGACACGCTGCCGGGTGCGCTGGGAGCCGAGGCGCTCGTGATCGAGCATGAGCTGATACTTGGTGGCTTTGAGTTCGTCGATCGATTGCTGCAAGCGTTCAATCTCGTCTTGGTCCTGTGTGTGGAAGGTGGCAGCGGCGTCGAGTTCACCTTGGATGTCCTTGACGTAGTGATCCTTCTCCGCAATGGTGTTCCTCAGCAACTCCATCTCTTCGTCCTTGCTGGCAAGTGCTTCCCGTAGCTCAGATACCTGACCCTCCATGCGCTGGAAATGGACACGATGCACTACGCTTGGGCGCGCGGTCTCCATGTCCTCGTTGACTTCCATCTCTTGGTTGAGCTGCACCTTGATAGCCTCAGCCTCTTGAAGCGCAGTAAACAAGCGGGCATTAGCCTCGACCAGTCGCTTCTCGAGAGCGGCCACCTCGGCGTATAGACGAAGGTTGTCTTGCTGGGTGGTGTTGAACATAGCTTCAAGCTCTTCCTTATCGTGCTCATCCTCGTCAATCGTCGGCAACCGTCCGACCACGGAGTTTGCTCGACTTCTCTGTGGCTCAAGTTCCGCCAGCTTGACGGCGCTCTCCTCCAACTGCTCCCGAGTCTGAGTGTGTTTTTCTCGCTCTTCCTTGAGAGCCTTTTGTATCTTCTTGGCAACATCCCATGATCTTTGCAGCTCGGCTTGCTGATTGACAACCTCTTCCTTAGTCTGGGCACTGGCGGCGAGTTGTTCTCGTAGCTTTGCAATGATCACGTCCTTGTCTTCCTCAACCTCCGGAGAACTTCTGCCCTTCTTGATCCGTAGCATTCGGACTTCAAGGGCATGGCCATCGTCCCCGTCTTCCGAAAACCGCGGACTCGACTGTCGTTCCATAGAGATCAACCGCTCTCTCATTAGCTTCAGCTGCGCATCCTTGACTTCCATTATCGTCTTGTGTTGCCTGGCCATCTCTTCAAGTTGGCTATCGCGGTCCTGTATGCTTTTGTCTTTCTGCTCGTTGCCCTTTCGAAGTGCAAACAGCTCGATGTCTTTCCGGTATACAATCGCCTGATGGTCCCGGCCCAAGTTTTGTTTGATGGCCTTCAACTGATCACGGAGGCCAGAGTATTCCGCAAAGGTATCATTGAGCGCTTCGCGTGCATTTTGAAGTTCCTCCTTCGTGATTCGAAGTTGGACTTCACGGGCCTTGTGTGCTGTTTTAGATTCAGTGAGCGAGCGTTGCAGTCGCACGATCTCGCTATCTTT